CACATGCGTGGGCTTACTCCGCACATCCACACATGCGTGGGCTTACTCCGCACATGCGTGGGCTTACTCCGCACATGCGTGGGACACCAAATGTGAGACACCAAATATGATTTTATTTATATTCTTTTGCTTTCTCTCACTGTTAACTGTTTTCTCCTTCAGGCATCAGCGGCCAAAGCCAAGAAGAAAGGCAAAGTCCTCCGTGGACAAGAACTCCTCCTCTTGTGGCAGAGAAAGAAGCAGAGTAAATACAACATATTTCTATGAAAGCTTCATTGATATAGAAATAACTGCTGTATTTATATGACTGTTTAGACATGATGTAAAGATCCTGAGCCGTTCATATTGCCTTTAATTCCTTCACTACACTGACTCTGATATTTATGTTTTGTACATTAGGTCCAGGTGACAAAGGGAGTAGACCTGCAGCGGGAGCAGCAGAGGGAGAAAGTCAGGAGCACGCAGAGTCCAAGGCCACTTCCTCCCCCCTCAAAAGACCTTCACTCGTAGCTCCTGCGCTCACTTCCACCTTCAGCCGCAGGTAAACACCCCCCCCATGAAAGTGTTTGTTGTTATTACAGCTCTTTAGATTAACTTTACGTGTGTCTTTTTCTGCCTCAGCTCTCCGGTGAAGAGGTCGTCGCTGGTCAAGGCTCTGCAGTTTGACACCGAGGTTCAGAAAGACAGCAGCACTGAAGCCCCGAGCTCAGAGCGCCCTGTCCCCTCCTCCCTCCTCCACCTCCTCGGCCAGGTGGCCGAGACCGCGGAGGACAAGTACCGCCTCCTGGAGCAGAGAGACAAGATCTTGCGTCAAGGTCATTAAACAAACAAACAAAGTCATTAACATGTCTAAAAACACGAGGGACGCTAACTGAGTGCATAATTTGTCCACACAGGTCGGCCCAAGAGGACGGACCTGGACCTGTCGAAGGTGTTTGTGGGGACGTGTCCTGACATGTGTCCAGAGAAGGAGAGGTACATGAGGGAAACACGGAAACAGCTGAGCATATTCGAGGTCGTCCCGGATTCTGAGATGGTAACTTCTGTTTTCAGCTGAATCATCACTGAGAGACGTTACATCGTTTATTTAAACATAAGTCACTTGCCGTACCCCCTTCAGCGAACAATTGCAAAGTAAAGAAGCCCCAAAAGGAATAATGTCTTTCATCATCTAGTTGCATTTATTGGTCATTTGAGAAGCATATTAAAACGTGTGGCATAAGACCAAATCGTCTTGTTATGCTAAATTAAACTGTGTCACCTCCTTTTCCCGACAAGGTGGATCACGCAGCAGCCGTCAAGGAGTACAGCCGCTCATCAGCCGACCAGGAGGAGCCCCTGCCATACGAGCTGCGCCCCCTGCCTGTGCTCAGCATGACCATGGACTATCTGGTGACTCAGATCATGGACCAGGGCCATGACAACTACCGGGACTGGTATGACTTTGTCTGGAACAGAACCCGCGGCATCCGCAAGGTGAGCTGCCCTTATCAACTGTCAGCTGTAGTCGAGCTAAAATCCCGTCAAGTAATGACATGCTCGTATTCATTCCTCTGTCACACCTACAGGATATCACCCAGCAGCACCTGTGCTGCCCACACACGGTGTCGCTGATCGAGAAGTGCACGCGCTTCCACGTGCACTGCGCTCACCACCTCTGCGAGGAGCACATATCGACTTTCGACGCCAAGATCAACAACGAGAACATGACAAAATGCCTCCAGAGTCTCAAAGAAATGTACCAGGACCTCGCCACGCGTAACATCTACTGCTCCCGGGAGGCAGAGTTTCGCCTGTACAACGTGCTGCTGAAACTCAACGACGGTGACATCCTGCGGTCAGCCCACTGAAAGACACACATACACAAACACTATTATAGACCTCCCCGTATGTGATAGAGAAAAACTTCCTCTCTTTATGTCCACGCAGTGAGGTGCAGCAGTTCCGTGACGAGGTGCGCAATTCCCCGGAGGTGAAGTTTGCCGTGCAAGCATTCACTGCAGTCAACAGCAACAACTTTGTGCGCTTCTTCAAGCTGGTGAAAGGAGCCTCCTACCTCGCCAGCTGCCTCCTACACAGATACTTCAATCAGGTCAGAAACAGTTCATGAACAACAGCAACAACTTTAGAAATAAAATGAATGAGATAAAGTGTGTGCGCTTATTCTTTTCATTATGTGCATTAGGTGAATCAAGACAACGGCCGGTTTCCTTTTCCTGTTTTCTTGTATAGAGAAAGGTTTTCAGTTTTAAGACAACTAAAATGTTGTGTGTAACATGGGTCTGCTCTGTTACAAGATAAGATATTCCTTTAATAGTCCCACAATGGGGA